AGTAACGCAACTAGCCATTAGTCATGCGCTTCCCCTGTCTAAGCGTCCGCGCTTCACTGCTGTCGCGAACGCCCAGGATTTCTTAGATGCAGTCGTTGCGCGCTACTCTACGCCTGCCTCCGCCTCTGCTGGCCGCCTTATCCTCCCCATGTTGTTTCCTGATCTTGCCGCTTTCCTCACTGTCGCTGACCTAGCCACTCACCTCCGTGCACTAGAGGCTAACTACCGCGCCGCTAGCACTAACACCAAGCTCATTGCCTTCCCCACGCTGTTCTGCGCTACCCTGTACCTCATTGCTATGCGCCTTCCAGACCGCTTAGCCATGCCCGCGACCACTTTCTTAGTCAGCACCCAGGTGACCTCACACTTACCGCCTTTGTTACCGCCCTATCTAAGATAGAGACTCACCAGCGCACTATCGCTCAGTAGAGCGGTGTTGCGGCAGTCCCTATCTTTCAGGGCTGTGCGCCCTCCCAGTGCACGTACGCTGACGTTTCTGCCTCGGTCGTTGTGACTACCCCTGTCGTTGAGACCACAGCTGCGCCCGCGTCGGGACCATCGTGGCCCAAAGGGGGGCATGGTGTCGAGGGTGGTGGGGGTGGTGGTGGTGATGGTGGTGGAGTTGGCGAGGAAAGTGGGTCTAACAAGGGGATCAAGGCTGGTGCCCAGGAGCAGCAGCAGCCGCAGCCACCGCAGCAGCAGCCGTCGTAGCAGCAGCAGTCGTAGGCCCGCCTCCTGCCGGGGAGGCCAGGAGCCTCTGGCGGTGGTGGCCGCGGGGGCGGCCCTCGCAGCTCGGTGTCGGCCGGTAACTTCGGTATTGTCAGCTGCCAGTACCAGCTCCAGATCGGCCCCCTCCGTGGCACTGTGTATCGTCGCCCGCACACGACCACCCGCTGCTTCCGACGCCTCAACGACCTCTTTCGTCGCCGCTTCGACCCCGCCCCCGACCTCCTTGACTAGCCCAGTCTGCTGCGCTACGGTGTGTCTGTCTTTGAGTTAGACATTGATCAGATTTGTTGTGCCTTGCATTCTCTGTATGCTGATGTTTCTAGTGTGTTCGGATCACATTACCCTGTATTATCTAGTTTGGGTGTAGTGCCAGTGTGTAGTACAGATTTCCTTGCTGCGTCAGGCGTAGGACCTTCTGCCTTGTCTAACCTAGGCTCAATGTTTGCTCCTCCTTCGGCCGCAGCTTCTACTTCGCTGTCCTTCACATTTGACTCTGATGCGTATGCCTGCTTCTACCGCGACCACGGCACACTCACACCGCTTGCAGCGCCTGCCGCTATCGCACTTGCTGACCCCTCCTCTGGTCCTGTCATTGCCCGTAGCTACACTACCCTTCCTTGTCCAGTGGTTCCCTCGGGTTCTCTTACAGGCCTGCACATCTTACAGGAACCTAGTTGGTGTCGGCTGTCTTCAGGACCATGGCATAACCACTATGTTCCCTGGTCACGAGCGGTACGTTGTCTGTACCGAGGCTACCTCAGGTGCCCCCCTTGCGACGTTTCCCCGGGACCCGGTGTCTGGCCTGTTTATGCTGAACAATACTTCCCCCTCGGTGGGCACGTCCTCCCTGGGTCCTGTATCTTCCCAGGTCGCTGCGGCTTGCTCGTGTTGGTCGCTCACTCACCCGTCGCTTCTGTGGCACCACCGCCTAGGTCACCCCGCACTCCCGCGTCTCCGTCACATGTCTCAGCACAGTCTCGTCCTAGGTCTCCCTGCGTTGCTCCCTGCCCTCCCTCCCTCGCCTGCGCCGCCGTGCAGTCTCTGCGTCGAGGGCCGGCTGCGCCATGCCCCTCAGTCCTCCTCGCTTCGCCCTACCACCGCGCCACTCCAGACCCTGCACCTGGACGTCTGGGGCCCTGCCCCCGTCCCTGGACCGCGTCGCGAGCACTAAAATTCCTGCTCGTCGACGAGTATACGCTCTACAACATGGTGTTTCCCTTGGAGGGGAAGGCCCACGTGCATGGCGTTCTTATTCCGTGGGTCGTAGCTACGCGCCTCCACCGCGGACTCCCTGTGCTGTGTCTCCACTCCGACTGTGGCGGAGAGTTCGCCTCCGGTCGGCTTGGACAGTTCTATCGTGCGGAGGGCATCACCCAGTCTTACATCCTACCGGACTCCCCGCAGAAGAATGGGGTCGCTGAACGACGCATCGGCTTGGTCATGGAGGTGGTTCGTACCTCCATGATCCATGTTGGTGCACCCCATTTTTTGTGGTCGTTCGATGCTCGCTACGCCGCTCACCAGCTTAACCTATGGCTGCACTCCTAGCGGCCGCAGGTTTCGCCGAACCTTCTTTGGACCAGGTTCCCTGGTGACGCGTCCGTGTTCCACATCTGGGGCTGCCTTGCTCACATTCGTGCCTCTGGCACGGACAAGCTCACTGCCAGCACTGTCCTCTGTGTCTTCCTCGGTTTCCCCCTTGACTCGTACGACTGGCACTTTTACCACCCGCCGTCTCACCGCTTCTTTCACTCACGTGACGTCACTTTCGACGACTTTGTCTCCTTTTACTGTCGCTTTCCTTACCGAGGTCTCCCAGTTCCCCCATCCCTGTTTCTGGTTCCCACTCCCCCGGTCGCCCCTGCTCACCTCCCTCCCCATCCTGCTCCGTCTGGTGTGTCTCACGTCACTCCCCTCCCGTCGGTTGTCCCGGTCAAGGAGTCGGCTTACTCTGGTGGCCCCACGACGCAGTTCTTGCTGCCCGTTTCTCCCCCAGTGTGTCCTCCTCCACCGTCGCAGTAGCCGCTGCCGTCGCCGCCGCAGCAGCAGCCATCCGTGGGCTCTGGGGTTGCAGACGTTGAGGAGGGTGATAATCCTGGGGTTCCTGTCATGGCTCGTCCCGGCGGTCCTGGGGGTGGCACCTGTGCTGGAGAGGGTTCTCGTTCTGGGGGTGCTGGTTTTGGGGGTGCTAGTCCTGGGGTTCCTGTCGTGGCTTCTCGGCGGTCTCGGGGGTGGCTTCGGTTCTCGTTTTGGGGGTTCTGGAGTAGAGCGTTCGAGAGGTAGCCATGGTGCAGCTGGCGGTCCTGGTGTCCGTGTACAGCAGCAGCAGCGGCAGACGTCGACGGTGTCCGCCCTTCGCCTGCTCGGCCTTCCCTCCCCTGACCGCTCGCCTGTGCCTTCCCCGCCGCCTCCTCCCCTTCCTGTCTACGACCCATTGTGCCCTCCGCCGGACTCGTCCCCAGCTCATTTCCCCCCTCGTTCCCCTCCTGTGACTCCTCCTGTGTCTCATGACCCAACGCCTCCGTCCCGCTTCTGGTCTCGCCGTCGCTCTCGCGCTCGTCCTCTCTCTCCTGTCCAGCGCTCTTATCCCATGTTGCTCCGTTCCCACCCGTTTCGTCCTCCCCTCCTCCCCTTGCCTCCTCCGTCGTCGCTCATTGTCGCTTGGCCTCCTCTGTCTGACTACCTTCGTGCCGCTCGTCCTCTTGTTCCTTGGGTCCTTGCCTCCCTCGTTACCCACCCGTCTGTTCCTGTTTTTAGTCTTGATGCTCTTGTCGCTGCTATCGCTGCTACGCCTAATCTCAGCTCCATGCTGCTAGTCCCCGAGGGTGACTCAGACGCCTTCGACATCCCGACCCCTCGCAATTATGCTGAGGCGACCTCGACACACTGGGCCTCTTAGTGGATACCTGCCATGGAGCAAGAGATGGGATCTTGGACATCCACAGGCAAATACGTCGACGTAGTTCCCCCACCTGGGGTGAACGTAGTCGATGGCCGTTGGCTCTTTAAGGTGAAGCGCCCCCTTGGAGAGCCGCATGTGTTCAAGGCGAGCAATGTGGCTAGAGGCCTCAGTCAGCGCGAGGGTGTGGACTTCTTTGAGACCTTGACCTCGACCTCGAAGATGACTACTCTTCGGGCGCTGCTACACATAGCCAAACAGCATGACTACGAGCTACACTCCCTCGATTTTTTCACAGCGGTCCTTCAGGGCAGCCTACATGAGCAGGTCTACCTGAGCTGTCCATAGGGCTTCACCGGTACCTTCCCTCTTGGGACCCAGTGGCTCCTCCGGTGCCGGGACTACGGCCGGCGACAGGCACCTCGTGAGTGGCACGACACGCTTCGTGCTACGCTAGCTGACCTACAGTTCTTTCCGTCCTGAGCAGACCCCTCACTCTTTGTTCGTGCTGGCCAGACCCCATCCTACATCCTTGTCCATGTAGATGACCTGGTCTTTGCTACTGCAGACAAAGAGGTGCTAGCCTCCGTGAAGGCTAAGCTGCTGAGGAGACACACCTGCACTGACCACGGAGAGTAGGGTGCACCATCACTCTCACACAGTCACACTTGGTGCGACAGGTCCTTCAGAGGTTCGATCTTCAGTTCTCCTTTGCACAGCCCACGCCTCTGCCAGTAGGCCACAGGCTCTCTGCTCCAGTTCCTGAGGAGTCTATAGAGCCTAGTGGTCCTTACGCAAAGCTGGTGGGTTGTCTCATGTACCTGATGACTTGCACTCGTCTAGGTCTTGCATACCCTCTTAGCATCCTGGCACACTTTGTGGCCACAGGGAGACACCGACCATTGCACTGGTCAGCAGCTAAGAGGGTTTTGCTTTATCTAGCAAGTACATCGGGAATGGGACTCGTGCTGGGAGGACGCAGGCCAGTGGTCCTTATTGGGTACACAGACGCTTTGTTGGCAGACGACGCTGAGACACTCCGGTCCTCCTAGGGCTGCTGCTTTAGCCCTGGTTCAGGTGCCATCTCGTGGAGGTCCACTTGTTAGGATTAAGGACGGAGTCTAGGTGTGCTTAGGAGCTAGAAATACTCAAAATATAAATCCGAAATTCTGGACAGAAAAGTCGTCTTCACAAGAAACGACGTCGACGAAAACCTAGCCGTTGGAATGTCGCGAAACTTGGAGATGTTGTAGCTCTGAATCTCAGCTACCGTTCCCAATTTGAATCACGTCGATTGATGAAGTATTCGCGACGCGATGTCTTTCGACGCACTGAGGGGTAAGCTGTAGGAGGAGAACTTAACTCAATCTCAAAAGGTTCAATCAAAGTTCAAGAATCTCACAAGGAATTGGAGGAGCAAGAGAAAGGTTGGGATAGAAGAGAGAGATGAGAGGGAAGGTCCCAAGAGAGTCCCCAACCAAGGAAACCCCATAAGCACAAAGATTCCCTCCCTATAGGAACCTCAACTTTGACCTTTGTCCCTTCCCAACCAATCCATCCAAGTTGGCCACCCTTGCCAACCTAGCTTGGTTGTTCCCAACCAATTTGCAGCTGTTACAGTAGAGTGACAAATTTCCCCAACCCCAAAGGTCCCAACTCCATATAAAGTCACCCCACAACTTCACTTTGTAACCGCCGCAATTGTAACGCAAGCTCATGAACTTTGAATCTTCATAGCTTTCGCGTTCTTGCTCCGGTTGAAGGGATTCTCGTTGCGTCGGAAAGATCTTCTCAAGATCTATCATCACAAATACCTGCTCAAACAAAAATAACACAGAACACATTCCCAAACTCCAGAACACACACCACACAAATGCTTGCACATTCAAACCACACATGCAAGTTGAAAACATGGGATGGGAGGCAGACAGAATGTGATAGCATATGATGACATCACACAACAATCTCCCCCTCTGGCTGCCAACCATCATCCACCATACCACATCTCAAGCATGCATACTCAATGCACACTCATCCCAGCAAGCTTCATGCCCTTCCAATGATCCGCCTCCGCCAGACGCTTAGTGAAAATATCTGCTGCCTGCTGATGGGTCTTCACTATCTCCAGCCGCACCTCCTTATCAAGGAGTCTCCTCACCCAATGCCACTTAGGCCTTATGTGTTTTGTCAGCCCATGCAGACAAGCATTCTTGGCCAGCTTCACTGCAGACTCATTGTCACAGAACACAACTGTCGGCTCCTCCTGACCAACTCCCAACTCCTCCAACAAACGCCTCAGCCATACCACTTCCTTGGCCCCATGGTGTAAGGCCATGTACTCAGTCTCACATGAAGACAATCCCACCTCATTTTGCTTCTTGCTGCGCCAGCTCACAGCACCACCTCCTAGCAAGCACACATAACCCCCAATGCTGGTGCCATCCGCTTTCACTGAGTTGAAGCTAGCGTCAGTATAGCAACTCAAGAGCATCTCTCCACTCTTCACATCTGCAGCACCTCTCTGCAACCGCTGCCTCACTCCACTGTACTCCAATCCCACTGATGCCGTAGCACTCACATAGCGGACCAACCTCTTGGCCGCTTCCGCTCATGACTAGGGCGTGAGACCACACTAGCCAACCGTGATGTAGAAAATGCAATGTCAGGCCGTGTATGATTTGCAGCATAATTCAGCGACCCAACCATCGAATGAAACAGCTTCCTGTCACTCTCACCCACTACCTCCTCATCAGCACATGGCTCCACAGTAAACCCTGAAGGTAGTGGTGTTGCTGGCTTTCCCCCATCTTGCAGCCCATACTTCTCAGCCAGCCCCTCACAGTACTTCCTCTGGTGCAACCTCAGCACACCCTTTTCCACATCTCTCTCCACGTGCATCCCCAAGTAGTACTTCACCTCACCCATCTTGGAGCACTTGAACTGCATCTCCAGCATCTGCTCTGCGCTGTCCAGCAAAGCAGTGGATGCAGAAAAGAGAAGGATATCATCCACATACACCAAGAGCATGAGGATTTCGTCCTTCTCCTGCAGCAGGAACAGGCTGGGGTCACACTCACTCTTCTTGAAACCCCCAGCCACCAGCGCCTCCTCCAACTTGTGATACCATGCACGAGGCGCCTGCTTAAGGCCATAGATTGCCTTCTTCAGCCTGCAGACCCTGCCGCTCCCATCATCCAGCCCCTCTGGCTGCTTCATGTACACCTCCTCCAGAATGATCCCATTCAGAAAGGCAGTCACAATGTCCATCTGCCGTATCTTCCATCCCAGGAGTGCAGCTATCGCCAACAGCACCCTCAGTGTTGTTCCTTTCCCCACAGGAGCAAACACCTCATCATAGTCCTTCCCTTTTGTCTGCTGAAACCCCCGTGCCACAAGCCTAGACTTGTAGCGGGTCAGCTCCCCTTCAGGTCCATACTTGTGCCTGTAGATCATCTTGGAAGTGATTGCCTTCTTTCCAGGAGGCAAGTCACACAGGTCCCATGTCTCGTTCTCAATCAGGGACCCGAACTCCTCATCCTCACTCGCCTTCCACTTCTCCCCATCTGGTCCATTCAAGGCCTCTTCTCGAGTCTTGGGCTCAGGGATTGGTGCCCAGTAGCAGTGAGCGATCTCATCTTCCTCAATCTGCTCAACCACACTCCCAGCCTGCACCACATTCGGCTTGCCTCTTCCCCCATAGGTCAGCCTCACTGGAGGGCGCACATCCCTCCTAGGACGCTCAGGCGGGTGTGGAACTCGAGGTGGAGACTCATGCTGCTGCTGCTGCTGCTGCTCTACTTCAGCTGCTCCCCCTTCCTCAGTCACCCCAGACATCTCCTCCTCTGACACTGCAACCTCCACCTGTCTTGAAGACTGCTGCACCTCATGTGCCTCCACAATGAGCGGTATAGATGGAAGCTTCTGTTGCTGCTGCTTCCATTCCTTGTAGTACAGGGACTCAAGAAACTTCACATCCCTTGACACTGTCAACTTCTGGGTGGTCAAGTCCCATAGCAGCCACCCCTTGTGATCCTTTGCAATCCCCAAGTGCACACCCCATCTTCCAGAAGCCTCCAGCTTCCCCCTTTTCTCCTTAGGCACATGAAACACCACCATGCACCCAAATGCCCTCAGCATGTTCACAGCTGGAGCACTCCCATACCACTTGACATATGGGATCCACTCCTTATCTCCAACTGTAGCCAGCACCCTGTTCTTCACAAGGGCGACCTGCCTCAGTGCAGACACCCAAAACGGATCAGGCAGCCCTGCACGCCCAAGGAGAGTGCGTGCCCCCTCCTGCAGGGTCCTGTTGAACCTCTCAGCCACGCCATTCTGCTGTGGGTTGTAGGGCACTGTCAGTTGATGCTGGATCCCCTTCCTCTTCAACTCCCCCTCAAAATCAGCTCCAATGAACTCCCCACCATTGTCACTACGGATCACCTTCACCTTGTGTCCGCATTCCCTCTGAGCTCTCGGCATCCACTCCTTAAGGACAGCCGCTGCCACCTCCCCCTTGCTCTTCAAAGGGTAAACCCACACTGCCCGAGTGTGGTCATCCACAATTGTCAAGAAATAGCGGCTGCCTGAGAGGGAAGGGGCTCTTGTGGGCCCCACCACATCCATGTGCACAAGTGCAAGTGGGGTCTTGGCTGGTCCTGTAGTGCTGTTGAAGGGGAACTTGGAGAACTTGGTCTCCAAGCATGTAGGGCAGCTCCCAATCTCCTTCACTCCCCCTTTCACCTCCAAGCCCTTCAGGCTCCCATCCTTCACCAACTTTTGCAGCATAGGGAAGTTCACATGACACAGCCTCTCATGCCATGTCTCCCAATCGGCCTCTCCACTCTTTGATGAAGCCTTAGCCCATGCCGCACTCGCATCCACACCAGCAAGCACCTCACCATGTGTCTGCTGCTGCTGCACTTTCTTGACTGCTTCCAGGACCCCATCAGTTGGTGCAGTTGCATCTCCTCCTGCTGTTGCCTTTGCCGCTGCTGCCGTTGCTGCTGTTGGAGTCTTCCCATTCCATGGGATGATGGGCAGCTGCCACAGGTCCTTGATGCAGCTGGTCTCCTCTTCCAGACTCCACAGCATCTTCTTCCCAAGCTTAGCACGGCAGCTGGTTGGTCCAAAGGTCACTTCGGCCTTGCTCTTCTGCAGTCGTCGCACAGAGAGAAGGTTAGCAGACAAGCCTTCAACCAGCAGAACATTCCCAAGCCCCACAAGCTCCCCATTAGCTCCCTTAACCTTGGCATTCCCAACACCAATCACGGGGAGCAAAGCACCTGACGCTGCTGCCACATACTTAATCTTCCCAGGGGGTTTTACCTCATCAAGCAAATATGCCCGTGGAGTCATGTGACTGGTGCAACCCGAATCAATCACCCAGTGCGTGAGAGGGTGCATCACAACCTTTCCCACAGATCCCACATCACCCTCATGCCCATGCACATCCTCAACCATGAGATACATCCCAGGATAGGCGTTACCTTGTGCACCTTCACCTTGTGCACCTGAGCCTTGCACAGCGCCACCTTGTGCGCGTTCACCACTTGGCGGCTTCATGCCTGGAGGTGACCATCCCTCCGGCCGGCTGAAGCACTTGAACCAAGGATGCCCAACCTTCTTGCAGTACCAGCAGGTGCCCTCCATTCTGGTACTCCCCCTGCCACTGGAGCTCCCATGCCCCTCATTATAGTCACCTCGGCCTCTACCTCTGCCAAAGCTTCTCCCACGGCCTCGGCCTCTCCAACCCCCTCTTCCTCTGCCGCGCCTTGCAGCTCCATACCCCTCAGCAGTCTTAGTGGCAGCACCGCCTCCCACATGGCGTCTGCGGAAGTCCTCCTGCAGAATCTGCTGCCTTAGCCACTCAGGTGTCCATTGATCTTGCTGAGAGTTGAGGGTGGGGATGAGGTTGTCCCAAGAGTTGTCCAACACCGAGATGATCTTGGTGCACTGCTGCAGCTGAGATACACTGCTGCCCGCTGCTGCCATCCTTGCATAGGTGTCCTTGATCTTGTCAAGGACCGGCTTCACATCGTCCCCTGGTCGCATGGAGATGGCAGCAAGTTCCTTCTCGAGCACGATCACCATCAGGAGAGTGTTGGGCTGAATCACATCGCGTAGTAGTTTCCACGCCCTTGGACCCGAATCATCCGCTTCCACAAGATCCTTGATGTGCTCGAACATCTCCTTGTTGACCGATTGAAGGATGAGGTCGAAAAGCACCGCGCTTTTCTCAATCCACCGTTCACGTGCTTCGCCTTCTTCCGGCATCTTCTCTTCCCCAACAGCAATCTTCAGTAGCTTGTAGCGTTTGAAGGCACTCCTCATCCGTCCGCTCCATTCCTCATAGTTGGAGCCATCCAAAGCTTCAACTTTTGATGGCGGCGGCTCACTTGTCTTCTCAGCTACAGCTCCTCTTCCATTAGCATCTCCTCCTCTCTCATTCATCTCCTTCTTGAGAAATGACGAATTTCAGCTCCCCTTTGCTGTCCACACTCAGCTCCCTCGATATTTTCACAAGTGTCGGCGTCCACGAAATTTCGGCAGAGTTTCCCCTTAGCGGAAGACACATCCAACCTTTAGAACACCACTTAGGCACACCCACAGGCCATGGTGGGTCTAGAAGGGTCTTCACACTTCTGTAGACTCCTCTCAATGTCCTTAATATCGCTCTGATACCACTTGTTAGGACTAAGGACGGAGTCTAGGTGTGCTTAGGAGCTAGAAATACTCAAAATATAAATCCGAAATTCTGGACAGAAAAGTCGTCTTCACAAGAAACGACGTCGACAAAAACCTAGCCGTTGGAATGTCGCGAAACTTGGACATGTTGTAGCTCTGAATCTCAGCTACCGTTCCCAATTTGAATCACGTCGATTGATGAAGTATTCGCGACGCTATGTCTTTCGACGCACTGAGGGGTAAGCTGTAGGAGGAGAACTTAACTCAATCTCAAAAGGTTCAATCAAAGTTCAAGAATCTCACAAGGAATTGGAGGAGCAAGAGAAAGGTTGGGATAGAAGAGAGAGATGAGAGGGAAGGTCCCAAGAGAGTCCCCAACCAAGGAAACCCCATAAGCACAAAGATTCCCTCCCTATAGGAACCTCAACTTTGACCTTTGTCCCTTCCCAACCAATCCATCCAAGTTGGCCACCCTTGCCAACCTAGCTTGGTTGTTCCCAACCAATTTGCAGCTGTTACAGTAGAGTGACAAATTTCCCCAACCCCAAAGGTCCCAACTCCATATAAAGTCACCCCACAACTTCACTTTGTAACCGCCGCAATTGTAACGCAAGCTCATGAACTTTGAATCTTCATAGCTTTCGCGTTCTTGCTCCGGTTGAAGGGATTCTCGTTGCGTCGGAAAGATCTTCTCAAGATCTATCATCACAAATACCTGCTCAAACAAAAATAACACAGAACACATTCCCAAACTCCAGAACACACACCACACAAATGCTTGCACATTCAAACCACACATGCAAGTTGAAAACATGGGATGGGAGGCAGACAGAATGTGATAGCATATGATGACATCACACAACAATCTCCCCCTCTGGCTGCCAACCATCATCCACCATACCACATCTCAAGCATGCATACTCAATGCACACTCATCCCAGCAAGCTTCATGCCCTTCCAATGATCCGCCTCCGCCAGACGCTTAGTGAAAATATCTGCTGCCTGCTGATGGGTCTTCACTATCTCCAGCCGCACCTCCTTATCAAGGAGTCTCCTCACCCAATGCCACTTAGGCCTTATGTGTTTTGTCAGCCCATGCAGACAAGCATTCTTGGCCAGCTTCACTGCAGACTCATTGTCACAGAACACAACTGTCGGCTCCTCCTGACCAACTCCCAACTCCTCCAACAAACGCCTCAGCCATACCACTTCCTTGGCCCCATGGTGTAAGGCCATGTACTCAGTCTCACATGAAGACAATCCCATCTCATTTTGCTTCTTGCTGCGCCAGCTCACAGCACCACCTCCTAGCAAGCACACATAACCCCCAATGCTGGTGCCATCCGCTTTCACTGAGTTGAAGCTAGCGTCAGTATAGCAACTCAAGAGCATCTCTCCACTCTTCACATCTGCAGCACCTCTCTGCAACCGCTGCCTCACTCCACTGTACTCCAATCCCACTGATGCCGTAGCACTCACATAGCGGACCAACCTCTTGGCCGCTTCCAGCTGCTCATGACTAGGGCGTGAGACCACACTAGCCAACCGTGATGTAGAAAATGCAATGTCAGGCCGTGTATGATTTGCAGCATAATTCAGCGACCCAACCATCGAATGAAACAGCTTCCTGTCACTCTCACCCACTACCTCCTCATCAGCACATGGCTCCACAGTAAACCCTGAAGGTAGTGGTGTTGCTGGCTTTCCCCCATCTTGCAGCCCATACTTCTCAGCCAGCCCCTCACAGTACTTCCTCTGGTGCAACCTCAGCACACCCTTTTCCACATCTCTCTCCACGTGCATCCCCAAGTAGTACTTCACCTCACCCATCTTGGAGCACTTGAACTGCATCTCCAGCATCTGCTCTGCGCTGTCCAGCAAAGCAGTGGATGCAGAAAAGAGAAGGATATCATCCACATACACCAAGAGCATGAGGATTTCGTCCTTCTCCTGCAGCAGGAACAGGCTGGGGTCACACTCACTCTTCTTGAAACCCCCAGCCACCAGCGCCTCCTCCAACTTGTGATACCATGCACGAGGCGCCTGCTTAAGGCCATAGATTGCCTTCTTCAGCCTGCAGACCCTGCCGCTCCCATCATTCAGCCCCTCTGGCTGCTTCATGTACACCTCCTCCAGAATGATCCCATTCAGAAAGGCAGTCACAATGTCCATCTGCCGTATCTTCCATCCCAGGAGTGCAGCTATCGCCAACAGCACCCTCAGTGTTGTTCCTTTCCCCACAGGAGCAAACACCTCATCATAGTCCTTCCCTTTTGTCTGCTGAAACCCCCGTGCCACAAGCCTAGACTTGTAGCGGGTCAGCTCCCCTTCAGGTCCATACTTGTGCCTGTAGATCATCTTGGAAGTGATTGCCTTCTTTCCAGGAGGCAAGTCACACAGGTCCCATGTCTCGTTCTCAATCAGGGACCCGAACTCCTCATCCTCACTCGCCTTCCACTTCTCCCCATCTGGTCCATTCAAGGCCTCTTCTCGAGTCTTGGGCTCAGGGATTGGTGCCCAGTAGCAGTGAGCGATCTCATCTTCCTCAATCTGCTCAACCACACTCCCAGCCTGCACCACATTCGGCTTGCCTCTTCCCCCATAGGTCAGCCTCACTGGAGGGCGCACATCCCTCCTAGGACGCTCAGGCGGGTGTGGAACTCGAGGTGGAGACTCATGCTGCTGCTGCTGCTGCTGCTCTACTTCAGCTGCTCCCCCTTCCTCAGTCACCCCAGACATCTCCTCCTCTGACACTGCAACCTCCACCTGTCTTGAAGACTGCTGCACCTCATGTGCCTCCACAATGAGCGGTATAGATGGAAGCTTCTGTTGCTGCTGCTTCCATTCCTTGTAGTACAGGGACTCAAGAAACTTCACATCCCTTGACACTGTCAACTTCTGGGTGGTCAAGTCCCATAGCAGCCACCCTTGTGATCCTTTGCAATCCCCAAGTGCACACCCCATCTTCCAGAAGCCTCCAGCTTCCCCCTTTTCTCCTTAGGCACATGAAACACCACCATGCACCCAAATGCCCTCAGCATGTTCACAGCTGGAGCACTCCCATACCACTTGACATATGGGATCCACTCCTTATCTCCAACTGTAGCCAGCACCCTGTTCTTCACAAGGGCGACCTGCCTCAGTGCAGACACCCAAAACGGATCAGGCAGCCCTGCACGCCCAAGGAGAGTGCGTGCCCCCTCCTGCAGGGTCCTGTTGAACCTCTCAGCCACGCCATTCTGCTGTGGGTTGTAGGGCACTGTCAGTTGATGCTGGATCCCCTTCCTCTTCAACTCCCCCTCAAAATCAGCTCCAATGAACTCCCCACCATTGTCACTACGGATCACCTTCACCTTGTGTCCGCATTCCCTCTGAGCTCTCGGCATCCACTCCTTAAGGACAGCCGCTGCCACCTCCCCCTTGCTCTTCAAAGGGTAAACCCACACTGCCCGAGTGTGGTCATCCACAATTGTCAAGAAATAGCGGCTGCCTGAGAGGGAAGGGGCTCTTGTGGGCCCCACCACATCCATGTGCACAAGTGCAAGTGGGGTCTTGGCTGGTCCTGTAGTGCTGTTGAAGGGGAACTTGGAGAACTTGGTCTCCAAGCATGTAGGGCAGCTCCCAATCTCCTTCACTCCCCCTTTCACCTCCAAGCCCTTCAGGCTCCCATCCTTCACCAACTTTTGCAGCATAGGGAAGTTCACATGACACAGCCTCTCATGCCATGTCTCCCAATCGGCCTCTCCACTCTTTGATGAAGCCTTAGCCCATGCCGCACTCGCATCCACACCAGCAAGCACCTCACCATGTGTCTGCTGCTGCTGCACTTTCTTGACTGCTTCCAGGACCCCATCAGTTGGTGCAGTTGCATCTCCTCCTGCTGTTGCCTTTGCCGCTGCTGCCGTTGCTGCTGTTGGAGTCTTCCCATTCCATGGGATGATGGGCAGCTGCCACAGGTCCTTGATGCAGCTGGTCTCCTCTTCCAGACTCCACAGCATCTTCTTCCCAAGCTTAGCACGGCAGCTGGTTGGTCCAAAGGTCACTTCGGCCTTGCTCTTCTGCAGTCGTCGCACAGAGAGAAGGTTAGCAGACAAGCCTTCAACCAGCAGAACATTCCCAAGCCCCACAAGCTCCCCATTAGCTCCCTTAACCTTGGCATTCCCAACACCAATCACGGGGAGCAAAGCACCTGACGCTGCTGCCACATACTTAATCTTCCCAGGGGGTTTTACCTCATCAAGCAAATATGCCCGTGGAGTCATGTGACTGGTGCAACCCGAATCAATCACCCAGTGCGTGAGAGGGTGCATCACAACCTTTCCCACAGATCCCACATCACCCTCATGCCCATGCACATCCTCAACCATGAGATACATCCCAGGATAGGCGTTACCTTGTGCACCTTCACCTTGTGCACCTGAGCCTTGCACAGCGCCACCTTGTGCGCGTTCACCACTTGGCGGCTTCATGCCTGGAGGTGACCATCCCTCCGGCCGGCTGAAGCACTTGAACCAAGGATGCCCAACCTTCTTGCAGTACCAGCAGGTGCCCTCCATTCTGGTACTCCCCCTGCCACTGGAGCTCCCATGCCCCTCATTATAGTCACCTCGGCCTCTACCTCTGCCAAAGCTTCTCCCACGGCCTCGGCCTCTCCAACCCCCTCTTCCTCTGCCGCGCCTTGCAGCTCCATACCCCTCAGCAGTCTTAGTGGCAGCACCGCCTCCCACATGGCGTCTGCGGAAGTCCTCCTGCAGAATCTGCTGCCTTAGCCACTCAGGTGTCCATTGATCTTGCTGAGAGTTGAGGGTGGGGATGAGGTTGTCCCAAGAGTTGTCCAACACCGAGATGATCTTGGTGCACTGCTGCAGCTGAGATACACTGCTGCCCGCTGCTGCCATCCTTGCATAGGTGTCCTTGATCTTGTCAAGGACCGGCTTCACATCGTCCCCTGGTCGCATGGAGATGGCAGCAAGTTCCTTCTCGAGCACGATCACCATCAGGAGAGTGTTGGGCTGAATCACATCGCGTAGTAGTTTCCACGCCCTTGGACCCGAATCATCCGCTTCCACAAGATCCTTGATGTGCTCGAACATCTCCTTGTTGACCGATTGAAGGATGAGGTCGAAAAGCACCGCGCTTTTCTCAATCCACCGTTCACGTGCTTCGCCTTCTTCCGGCATCTTCTCTTCCCCAACAGCAATCTTCAGTAGCTTGTAGCGTTTGAAGGCACTCCTCATCCGTCCGCTCCATTCCTCATAGTTGGAGCCATCCAAAGCTTCAACTTTTGATGGCGGCGGCTCACTTGTCTTCTCAGCTACAGCTCCTCTTCCATTAGCATCTCCTCCTCTCTCATTCATCTCCTTCTTGAGAAATGACGAATTTCAGCTCCCCTTTGCTGTCCACACTCAGCTCCCTCGATATTTTCACAAGTGTCGGCGTCCACGAAATTTCGGCAGAGTTTCCCCTTAGCGGAAGACACATCCAACCTTTAGAACACCACTTAGGCACACCCACAGGCCATGGTGGGTCTAGAAGGGTCTTCACACTTCTGTAGACTCCTCTCAATGTCCTTAATATCGCTCTGATACCACTTGTTAGGACTAAGGACGGAGTCTAGGTGTGCTTAGGAGCTAGAAATACTCAAAATATAAATCCGAAATTCTGGACAGAAAAGTCGTCTTCACAAGAAACGACGTCGACAAAAACCTAGCCGTTGGAATGTCGCGAAACTTGGACATGTTGTAGCTCTGAATCTCAGCTACCGTTCCCAATTTGAATCACGTCGATTGATGAAGTATTCGCGACGCTATGTCTTTCGACGCACTGAGGGGTAAGCTGTAGGAGGAGAACTTAACTCAATCTCAAAAGGTTCAATCAAAGTTCAAGAATCTCACAAGGAATTGGAGGAGCAAGAGAAAGGTTGGGATAGAAGAGAGAGATGAGAGGGAAGGTCCCAAGAGAGTCCCCAACCAAGGAAACCCCATAAGCACAAAGATTCCCTCCCTATAGGAACCTCAACTTTGACCTTTGTCCCTTCCCAACCAATCCATCCAAGTTGGCCACCCTTGCCAACCTAGCTTGGTTGTTCCCAACCAATTTGCAGCTGTTACAGTAGAGTGACAAATTTCCCCAACCCCAAAGGTCCCAACTCCATATAAAGTCACCCCACAACTTCACTTTGTAACCGCCGCAATTGTAACGCAAGCTCATGAACTTTGAATCTTCATAGCTTTCGCGTTCTTGCTCCGGTTGAAGGGATTCTCGTTGCGTCGGAAAGATCTTCTCAAGATCTATCATCACAAATACCTGCTCAAACAAAAATAACACAGAACACATTCCCAAACTCCAGAACACACACCACACAAATGCTTGCACATTCAAACCACACATGCAAGTTGAAAACATGGGATGGGAGGCAGACAGAATGTGATAGCATATGATGACATCACACAACAATCTCCCCCTCTGGCTGCCAACCATCATCCACCATACCACATCTCAAGCATGCATACTCAATGCACACTCATCCCAGCAAGCTTCATGCCCTTCCAATGATCCGCCTCCGCCAGACGCTTAGTGAAAATATCTGCTGCCTGCTGATGGGTCTTCACTATCTCCAGCCGCACCTCCTTATCAAGGAGTCTCCTCACCCAATGCCACTTAGGCCTTATGTGTTTTGTCAGCCCATGCAGACAAGCATTCTTGGCCAGCTTCACTGCAGACTCATTGTCACAGAACACAACTGTCGGCTCCTCCTGACCAACTCCCAACTCCTCCAACAAACGCCTCAGCCATACCACTTCCTTGGCCCCATGGTGTAAGGCCATGTACTCAGTCTCACATGAAGACAATCCCATCTCATTTTGCTTCTTGCTGCGCCAGCTCACAGCACCACCTCCTAGCAAGCACACATAACCCCAATGCTGGTGCCATCCGCTTTCACTGAGTTGAAGCTAGCGTCAGTATAGCAACTCAAGAGCATCTCTCCACTCTTCACATCTGCAGCACCTCTCTGCAACCGCTGCCTCACTCCACTGTACTCCAATCCCACTGATGCCGTAGCACTCACATAGCGGACCAACCTCTTGGCCGCTTCCAGCTGCTCATGACTAGGGCGTGAGACCACACTAGCCAACCGTGATGTAGAAAATGCAATGTCAGGCCGTGTATGATTTGCAGCATAATTCAGCGACCCAACCATCGAATGAAACAGCTTCCTGTCACTCTCACCCACTACCTCCTCATCAGCACATGGCTCCACAGTAAACCCTGAAGGTAGTGGTGTTGCTGGCTTTCCCCCATCTTGCAGCCCATACTTCTCAGCCAGCCCCTCACAGTACTTCCTCTGGTGCAACCTCAGCACACCCTTTTCCACATCTCTCTCCACGTGCATCCCCAAGTAGTACTTCACCTCACCCATCTTGGAGCACTTGAACTGCATCTCCAGCATCTGCTCTGCGCTGTCCAGCAAAGCAGTGGATGCAGAAAAGAGAAGGATATCATCCACATACACCAAGAGCATGAGGATTTCGTCCTTCTCCTGCAGCAGGAACAGGCTGGGGTCACACTCACTCTTCTTGAAACCCCCAGCCACCAGCGCCTCCTCCAACTTGTGATACCATGCACGAGGCGCCTGCTTAAGGCCATAGATTGCCTTCTTCAGCCTGCAGACCCTGCCGCTCCCATCATTCAGCCCCTCTGGCTGCTTCATGTACACCTCCTCCAGAATGATCCCATTCAGAAAGGCAGTCACAATGTCCATCTGCCGTATCTTCCATCCCAGGAGTGCAGCTATCGCCAACAGCACCCTCAGTGTGTTCCTTTCCCCACAGGAGCAAACACCTCATCATAGTCCTTCCCTTTTGTCTGCTGAAACCCCCGTGCCACAAGCCTAGACTTGTAGCGGGTCAGCTCCCCTTCAGGTCCATACTTGTGCCTGTAGATCATCTTGGAAGTGATTGCCTTCTTTCCAGGAGGCAAGTCACACAGGTCCCATGTCTCGTTCTCAATCAGGGACCCGAACTCCTCATCCTCACTCGCCTTCCACTTCTCCCCATCTGGTCCATTCAAGGCCTCTTCTCGAGTCTTGGGCTCAGGGATTGGTGCCCAGTAGCAGTGAGCGATCTCATCTTCCTCAATCTGCTCAACCACACTCCCAGCCTGCACCACATTCGGCTTGCCTCTTCCCCCATAGGTCAGCCTCACTGGAGGGCGCACATCCCTCCTAGGACGCTCAGGCGGGTGTGGAACTCGAGGTGGAGACTCATGCTGCTGCTGCTGCTGCTGCTCTACTTCAGCTGCTCCCCCTTCCTCAGTCACCCCAGACATCTCCTCCTCTGACACTGCAACCTCCACCTGTCTTGAAGACTGCTGCACTCATGTGCCTCCACAATGAGCGGTATAGATGGAAGCTTCTGTTGCTGCTGCTTCCATTCCTTGTAGTACAGGGACTCAAGAAACTTCACATCCCTTGACACTGTCAACTTCTGGGTGGTCAAGTCCCATAGCAGCCACCCCTTGTGATCCTTTGCAATCCCCAAGTGCACACCCCATCTTCCAGAAGCCTCCAGCTTCCCCCTTTTCTCCTTAGGCACATGAAACACCACCATGCACCCAAATGCCCTCAGCATGTTCACAGCTGGAGCACTCCCATACCACTTGACATATGGATCCACTCCTTATCTCCAACTGTAGCCAGCACCCTGTTCTTCACAAGGGCGACCTGCCTCAGTGCAGACACCCAAAACGGATCAGGCAGCCCTGCACGCCCAAGGAGAGTGCGTGCCCCCTCCTGCAGGGTCCTGTTGAACCTCTCAGCCACGCCATTCTGCTGTGGGTTGTAGGGCACTGTCAGTTGATGCTGGATCCCCTTCCTCTTCAACTCCCCCTCAAAATCAGCTCCAATGAACTCCCCACCATTGTCACTACGGATCACCTTCACCTTGTGTCCGCATTCCCTCTGAGCTCTCGGCATCCACTCCTTAAGGACAGCCGCTGCCACCTCCCCCTTGCTCTTCAAAGGGTAAACCCCACACTGCCCGAGTGTGGTCATCCACAATTGTCAAGAAATAGCGGCTGCCTGAGAGGGAAGGGGCTCTTGTGGGCCCCACCACATCCATGTGCACAAGTGCAAGTGGGGTCTTGGCTGGTCCTGTAGTGCTGTTGAAGGGGAACTTGGAGAACTTGGTCTCCAAGCATGTAGGGGCAGCTCCCAATCTCCTTCACTCCCCCTTTCACCTCCAAGCCCTTTCAGGCTCCCATCCTTCACCAACTTTTGCAGCATAGGGAAGTTCACATGACACAGCCTCTCATGCCATGTCTCCCAATCGGCCTCTCCACTCTTTGATGAAGCCTTAGCCCATGCCGCACTCGCATCCACACCAGCAAGCACCTCACCATGTGTCTGCTGCTGCTGCACTTTCTTGACTGCTTCCAGGACCCCATCAGTTGGTGCAGTTGCATCTCCTCCTGCTGTTGCCTTTGGCCGCTGCTGCCGTTGCTGCTGTTGGAGTCTTCCCATTCCATGGGATGATGGGCAGCTGCCACAGGTCCTTGATGCAGCTGGTCTCCTCTTCCAGACTCCACAGCATCTCTTCCCAAGCTTAGCACGGCAGCTGGTTGGTCCCAAAGGTCACTTCGGCCTTGCTCTTCTGCAGTCGTCGCACAGAGAGAAGGTTAGCAGACAAGCCTTCAACCAGCAGAACATTCCCAAGCCCCACAAGCTCCCCATTAGCTCCCTTAACCTTGGCATTCCCAACACCAATCACGGGGAGCAAAGCACCTGACGCTGCTGCCACATACTTAATCTTCCCAGGGGGTTTTACCTCATCAAGCAAATATGCCCGTGGAGTCATGTGACTGGTGCAACCCGAATCAATCACCCCAGTGGTGAGAGGGTGCATCACAACCTTTCCCACAGATCCCACATCACCCTCATGCCCATGCACATCCTCAACCATGAGATACATCCCAGGATAGGCGTTACCTTGTGCACCTTCACCTTGTGCACCTGAGCCTTGCACAGCGCCACCTTGTGCGCGTTCACCACTGGGCGGCTTCATGCCTGGAGGTGCCCATCCCTCCAGCCTGCTGAAGCACTTGAACCAAGGATGCCCA